CAAGTTGGATAATACAATAAAATTGTTTTAAATCTTCTATACATGTATTTTTTTACCTCAAAATAAGAGATACATTTGAATCTTTGATGAAACTTTGCAGCTTATGGTCCCTGGAGTGTTACATGCATGTTTAATCTTGTTTGTAATACAATTAATTAGTTCATGCAACTTGTTTTATCTAATTATGTGATTTTCACTGCCAGTCAGAATGTTAATGCTCACTATGCAGCAGAGAGAAAATTTAAATCTGTTGTTATAAATAGAAAGCATTTTGTTTTGTCAAAGCTTATTTGAAAAGATCACTGTGGAAATTTTCACTTCAAGTTGGATAATACAATAAAATTGTTTTAAATCTTCTATACATGTATTTGTTTACCTCAAAATAAGAGATACATTTGAATCTTTGATGAAACTTTGCAGCTTGTGGTCCCTGGAGTGTTACATGTATGTTTAATCTTGTTTGTAATACAATGGACAAGAATAGCCACCCAGTGGATGTCCATTGTTAAATCATTTATTCATTATTATTCATTTATTCATTTATTATGAGGTTGTGAAAGACAGTCTAAAATTAAGTGAAGAGGAAATATATTTCATGAAATTTTGTTTAAAATAGTTGGAGCCAGAAAACACAGAAGATTACATTGATTATTTGAAGTCTGTTGGATGGCTGGATGAAGCAGCAACACGGCTTGCTTTCATTGTTAACAAGGTATCTGTTACAGTGACCAACTCTGTTAGGTTACAACACGAATCAAAACAATGCAACTCAACTACACAGTCCTATTAATACTCATCTCATTTGGTTTTATTAACTGAGTTTGAAAATGAATTAGGCCACTGTAAAAGTTTTTGAAGCTGCTGTTTTAAGTGTCAACCCTTTGTTTTACTCTGACAAAGAGCTAATGCTTGAAAACTCAGCTTTAATAACTCTATACAGTGGCCTTTTACCATTATCAGCTCAGTTGTTTAAACCAAATTATCTTGTAATACCTCCTACTGATGCAGAACCATAGTTTATTTAGAAACTTAATATGTCCTTTATTTTATTATTTCTTTCTAATATTTGTTTTATAATTTTATCTGACTGTGTTCTCAGGAGAAATTTGTGTCCAAGGAAGGAAAATCAAACCACAAGGTAACTTACATCATTCAGCAAGTTTCCCTTGACAAACTCACCACTGTCACCACAGTAACTTGAATTAACCAATCAAAATAATAATAAAAAAAAGATTCCAACAAA